ACATACCTGCACTCAGTAATTTAGTAACGATAACAAGGTGTCTTAGGAGCCTTGCCTTTATAATAATAAGTATGGCACAACGACATTTCCTCATCTTCTCACATTAAAAATGGATACCAACGAACTGCTTTGCATTATCAGGTCAATTGGCTCATGTAAAACTAAGAACAGCATGACTTTGAGGACATAAGATATTGAACATAGCCTATCAAAACTGACTAGACACATGCATAGTTCAGTAATATTTCTATAATGATTTTGGCAAAAGGCCAATTTAATTAAAACTATACAACGGTATACCTATTGTGAGCTATGTGCTATGTTATGGTGTTGTTCACAACTGTGATTCAAAGGTATGAAATCAACTTAGACCACTATTAAAAGAAAGAAAGTACAACAACAAAAAAAGAGAAGGTATCAGAGTGTACAAATGTAAACAAGAATATACACAATGTCACGGATGCTTTGTTTCAGTTATAAATAGCCCCCCCCCCACGGGTGTGCTAGGTGACAATGCTAATACGCAATCCTGGTGTGGCTCATGACTGAAAGTTTGAAAAGGCTGCTGTGTTGAGAACTCTGGGTCACATAAAGCTGTGTAAGATATAGTTGCATCCTCAAGAACATTCTAACTGTTGTTCATGTATGAGGCTCAGAAGACAGGGTGAGCTCTGAAGGGTAGAGGAGGAAAGAGCACCCTGGGTAGTGACAGGGGAGCTGCCTTCAGGGAACAGAGTAATCTAGGCTACAGCCCGGGGCTATCCTGTATGAGGACCCGAGTAAGCCAAGGAAGGTAGTTCAAACCACACGGAGAAATCCAGACCAGGGAGGTGTACTTAATTTGATAAGGGCAGGGGAGTAGAAGGTGATGTATATGGAGCTCACCTTTAGGATGTTTAAGTGAGCAAAGACTTACGGGATAGAACAGTGGGCAACTTCAGTCCGTGCCTGGGGGTGGCCGGAGGAAGGACAGCTGGCCTAGTGAAGGGTTCGCAGCCTGAGGGTGGGCGTTGGGGTCCGCAGTACAGAGATATCAGAACGGTGAGGAGCAGACCAGGTTTTGAAAAAGCGTGATTGTTATGCTTACTGTTTTCACAATCCAAATTGCAGAAAGCGTTCTTGTGAAATCCCTTTTGGGTGTACGGATGTGCACGCCACTTTAAAAGAACCCTAACTGCCAAGGTCCTTTCTAGTTTCAACCTCTGTTGGATGACTGTGTTTCCTGAAGAAGCTCAGGCTAAAAGGGGTGACGTGGTTAATCAGTGGCAGAGCAGGAACTAGACCCCAGGCCTTTTTTTAAATTCCGGGACGGCGTTCATCCCCTCGCACTCAGTATCTGTGATGGTTTCCATTTCACAAATGTAACAATTAGGTGAGGAGAGATCTAGCTGGAAAAGCTCACTGGCTGGATTCAGACATGCACCCCCTGTTGTTCTGCTTTCTGTCAGACTGCCGTTCCGACGGGCACCACAGGAAACATGAGTTTGTAAAACAGGCAGGCCTTCCCCCGTGGCCCCTCACGGGGCAAACACGATTTTGACTATAGCACACTCCCCATCATAACCATACACAACTGTCAAAATTAAAAAGATAAAATACCAAAGCAAAGTAGAGGAGCCACATGCTAAGGCCTCCTATCTCTCAACCCGCAGTCGTATATACATTTACAAGCTTTTAAAATTAGGGTCTGTTTCTAATTTCCTATTGGTTTATCAATGTCTCGACCTTTTCTCATCCATTATTTAATTAATTTATCTGTTTCCTTGTGTCATTCCCAAGTGCACATTTCCCATAAACTTCGAGGACAGTTTATGAAAATGAAAGAACATTTTTCCTCAGTAATGTTTTCATCGTTATAACTTCTGAGAACAATTTCTTGAGAGATGTTTTGGGAGTTGTATTCCAGAACATATTATCTTCGTGGTCTTCCCCTGGTAGGAAGGATAAATGATCTCGCCTTGAGAGTTGCTCTGAATTTTCCAGTTTTAGTGTAGAAGATAAATATGTCCCTCACAGAAGCTGCAGAAGTAGATTTCAAGCAGGCCTGAAGTTTGGTCCCACCAGGGGGTGACGTGCCTGGGAGTGATCGTGGAAAAAAGACCCGCTCTCACAGGACACACTGAGTGACTGGCGTCTGTTGGTACCAGTTACTTGTGTCTCCTGAGTGTCCTGAGCATTTGGGAGGCAAGGGAAGCGGCAGCGTCCACAAACCCTTTCTGAGGAAGGCAAAGAGAGCTTCTCACTATGGAATGAGAACACCACTCATCAGGGGTGTTCATGAGAGGAGCTCGTCCCACTAACTGGGAGTATTGCCGACTCCTGCTCTGTGCAGTGTCTCTGTTTCAGAAGTTGCTCTCTTCACCCACAAAGCGTCTTCTGATCAGTTACTCCATGGTCCCTAATGGCAGCCAAGTGACAACTGGTCCCCGTGTAGAGTGATACATGCTTTTCAACTAACGGAAGGATTCTGGGTGCCCTGGGCAACCAGGAAGGGGAGGGGAGGGGAGGGTGCAGGACAAGAAGCGCAGCTGGAATTGGGATTCTGCCGGAGGAGAAAGGGTGTACATGTGGTTATGCAGAGAGCTGCAGAAGAATTTAAGCAACACATCACATAAAACATGGAGGTAGGTAAATGCACAGACATATTCAGAAAATGGCAGACATGGATTCGGCTGGGGTCGTGGTTCGAAGAACCTCATTTGCTACAGAGGAAATTTAAGTTCATCCTGCAGAAAAATCTCTGAGACACAGTCTTATTAGTATTGTTATACTACTGGGATTCTCTTGTTGGGTGGTCTGGGTTCAGAAAGAAGAGTGGCAACAGTAAGTGGATGAACTGAATATCACAGGGTCCAAAGGCCTGGAGACCAACCTGAACCTGT